TGGCATGGGGGGGGGGGAAGCTTGCCTAAAGAGCCAGGTCTTAAGTTGGCTCTTAAAAACACCCAGCGAGGGAGCCAAGCGAATTTCCGACGGGAGTTTGTTTCAAAGTCGAGGGGCCACTGCCGAGAAGGCCCAGTTTCTTGGTCTTTCTTTCCGGGCCTCCATCGGCATTAGGCCTCTCAGCTGTCTTTCCTGGCTATAACCAGTGATTCGAGTAGATCTAGGTGATCATATTAAGTCATGTTGAAGTCCAGCTCCCACCAGGACCGGTCACCCTGGCTCCACAGACTCATCCCAGCTGTGACCAAACAACTCTTAGAATGACTGTCTTTGGTGTTGCATTGGCTGTGCGTTGCCCAAAACAGAAGCATGCAAGCTTCTAAATGCGGAAGAGATTCCACTGCAGCCCCAGGAGATTACAAGCCTGGCCTGTTGGTTTCTCTCCTTTGTACTGAAAGCTTAGTGTGTTTTTTTCCACCGGGCATCAACGTGAATGAATCTCTCAATCGGTTTGAAATGCTCTGTGGTTGGATCCTGAAACTTGGAGATGTAAATACGGTGGGAAGGGAAGGTGAACTGGGATGGGAAAACAGAGCCGGGAGGAGGGAGACAAAAACTTCTGCGTAAGCGGATTTTGATGTGAAACACCCCCCCTCCCAAGGCAAACGACGTAGTATGCCTGCCTATTATTTCCAGAAGAAGGAAGAGGTTTGAATGGACACAGCTGTGTTATACCTGTGTGCTTATCTTTAAAAGGCTGTCCCCGGCGTGGCAGGATGTACAGAGGCAGAAGTCAAGCGAGGACACATTCCCCAAATTCAACTGGCAAAAAGGGCTCATGAAATTGAGGAGCCTTTCCGAGCCAGTTTGCAATGTGGGGGCAGAGATTCCGGATCAAAAAGAGAAAAATAGACCTTCCCTCTTCCCCTGACCCCATCGCTTTGGGCGTTGAGCTGCATTACGCTCGTTTCGTGATGTTCCGTCCTTGCTTATGAATGTGACTTGTTGGGCCCATGCTTTGGTTGGTGTTAAAAAAAAGTTCGAATGCTGGGATTATGGGTGACTTTGGCTCTTCGCTCCAGGAGACTGTGTTGATTTTGATTTTTTTTTTTTTTTTTGAGGGGGGGAGTACGTCTTAAAACAGGAACTCTCAAAGCTGTGATGTTGAGGGCTGCAGATGGAGGCTCTGAAAAATGGGAGGACTGTGAAGACATGGGGGCATCTCCCGGCCCGTGTCGGCTCCCCGTTGGCTGATGCATCCACTCCAGAAGCAGGACTGGGTTGCTTCGAACATGTACAAAGAAGCAATGTAATGTCCACCACAGCCCGTGCTGTACGTTTTCCGAAACAAGCCCTGTGAACCGGCAATCGTGTAAAGCTGCAGAACGGAGACGCCTTTCCCAGAGGGTCTGGGTTAATGGTTTATTTAAAATACTTGCAGCACCTTCTGGGCTTCCTTGAAAAAAAAAAAAAGAATATGCATGTCAGCTTCTAGATGTCAAAACGTAATAAAGCGATAAGTCAGCAGCCGTAGGGCAAAATAGCTGTTTAAAATGGAGGCTAGGCAGTAGTGACTTGCCTACCCATTTCAAGTGTCCTGTGAAACGTGTGGGTGTTAACAGACTGTCTGAATGATTTCGTGAGGGTGTTGGGCAGGCAGGATGGATTTGATCCC